TCACTCTGTGTTACTTGTTTTAATCATGTATGCTTCATCTTTTCAGTTCATGAAATATACACGATTCAGAATGTCAGTTCCATGGAAAAGGACCCAGGCCCTGCTCTGTCTTGCTCCCTGTATCATGGGTCACTGACACTTTTAAAAGGCACTCTTTGAAAAACATTATTTCCTTTTCAGACATTTTCAAAGCGTGCAGTGTGGGAGGATGAGAATGGAGGTGGAGGTGGACTTGTTCCTAAGTAAATGTTCACATAAAATCTGGTGACAGAGCCTGACAGATCAGATGTCATATGATTCGTGTTATTTTCCAGTTGCTGTGGGACCAGTGGTGTGTCATACCCAACCAACCTTTCACAATATTTCAAATATGTGTCACCCAGCTTTTTAAACCCTTCTGCAGTCTTCATCAGTTCTTCCTACTAACCCACATTACACATGACACACCTAACGGCAATGAATTCTAAGAGGGCAACAACAAAAAAGAAAAACAGTGAGTCCGTGAAACCCAGGGAAAAGCTATAATTATTTTCGTAAACTTAAAAGTGAATTTTAAGTACAATAGATATTAAGAATCATCGAGTAATAAGCAGCAAGAATTGAATAAGAACCTCAAATGAACTGGCAACACTAAAATCTAGGTGCTAAAAATATGGTTCCCAACCTTTTTATGGTCCTAGCACAATTTCAAATATCAGAATTTTAAGAAAACAGTTGAAGAGATTAAGACTTAAGATACTGCTAAGGTAGCAATAAATGCAATATAATTACACCAGCATATAGCAAAGCCTCATATTGCCCGCAGAGATTTCACAGGGGACATTCACCACAATCAGGCATCCTTAGGCACTCATATTCTGCTTGAAGAGAGCAGCCGATGCCCTCAGAGTTCAAGGACATAATCTGAAAAAGTTAAGTTATCTCCTGCCTGTACATTTTTCTTTGGTGAGAATTTGGTTTCTGTTAAACCATTTCACTTGTGGTAAATTGTGTCTAATCTGCAGCATGTTCCACGAACAATGCGGGTCAAGCTCTGTTTGGCAGACGTTGCCTGTTGGCAGAATACTCAGCTGTAGTAAAGGAAATTTTATACATTGATCGGGCAGCCCAGTTCCTGGTGGGGCAGGATGTCATGGCAGACCAGTTCAGAAATGAGACTGAATTCCTCACTGTCTTGTCTCAAACATTCATATTCTGCAGTCATCAAGCACACTACTTCTGGGGTGAGTAAGAGACCTGATTAAGTCGAATGATTTGTACAAAGGCACACAAAATATAGTTTAAAAAAAGAAAGCAGATTGAAGCAAAATCATAAAGGGTCTTAAGTAATATTAAAATGTGTTAAGTAGCCACAAGGGAGCCATTAATTTCTTAATGAATTTATTCACTTAACAGACATTTATTTTCTGTGTGCTAGGTTGTTTCCCAACTGAGTGACAGAGAACACTGTAAACACAAAGCCCTTTCCTCATGGAGCTGACTTTCCAGTGAAAGAGACAGATAATAACCAAAAATTTTGTTTGAAAAACCACAGACCAAGTAAACATCAGGGTTGGTGATAAGCACAAGGCTCTCATAGGGGAACAGAGACTCTGGGGGAGGAGTGGTAGCTATTTTACATAGTGTGATCTGGGAGTGACTCACTACTAGGGTGACATTTGAGAAGAGACTTAAAGGAAGTGAGAATACTAAGACAGCCTGGGCTGCAGATTTCGGAGGGTAGATTGTTACAGGCACAAGCAACAGTAGGCGCAGAAGCAATGGTAGGTGCAAAGGCCCTGAGGCAGGGGCACACGTATGTCAACAGTGGTCTACTGGAGAGGAATGTTTGACAGGAGAGGGATAGGAGAAGAAACCAGGAGGAGAGGAGATGTCAGGAAGTTGGGAGTTACCCTCAAGATCACATAAGACCTCTGCAAATACTTTGGCTTCTACTCTGAATGAAACGAGAACCCAGTGGAGTATTCTCACAAGAGGAGTGACATATTTTAATATGTATTTTAAAATGATAGCTCTGGAAGCATAAAAATGCAAACAGGGAGATCAGGGGAGAGATGGTGGTGGAGTCTGAACCAGGGTGGCATCTATGGAAGAGGTGAGAAGTACTTGAATTCTAGATACATTCTGAAGGTAAAGCTAACTTAATTTGCTAGTGGATTAGTATGGCTTGGGAAAGATGGGAATTAAATATTATTCCAAAATGTTTAGCTGGAGAAGTGGAAAAATAACATTCCCATGGATTGAGATAGAGATCACCACAAGAGGAGTAGGTTTGGAATTAAAATAAGAAATTTGACTTTGGAAAATAGGAGGTGAGTGTCCTGTGTTGTCAAATCAGCAGTCACTAATCACATGTGGGCATTTAAATGTACATTTTAATTAATAAAAATTAAGTAAAACTTAAAATTCAATTCCTCAGTTGCACTTGCCATATTTCAAAACCTCAAACACCCGCCTACACATGGCTAGTACTGATATGTTAAACAGTGTGGATCGTACAGAGCTTTTCCATCACGGCAGAAAGTTCTCTTGGGCAGTACGGGAGAGACACGAAGCCTTAACTATGTGCTGGGCCTTGTGCTGAGTGCTTTTTGTACATTAACTCATTTAACGCTTAAAACAACTCTCTGAGTCAGGCAATGTGGTATCTTTTCACAAAGGCTATAACTAAGGATCAGAGAAGTTAAGTAACTTGCCCTAAATCACACAATTCTTAAAGGGTAGGGAGCCAGAATTGGATTCCAGGACTTTCTGCTTCCAATGCCCAAATATTGAAATCATCACACTAAACCTTAGAAAGATTAAACTAGTTTGAAATTAAACATAACCTCCATGGGGAAGTGTCTGGTAGGTTATCGGCAATAAAGTGTTGAAGCCTTGAGAAGAACACAGGAGATCTGACAGATCTGGAGGAAAGGTGAAACTCCAGACACATCCTGTGTTTTACAGAACTAGACAGAATCCATCCCAGTTAAGAGAAAATATGAATATTCAATGAAGGCACTAGTTTAAATTTCTGATAAGGGGAGAATTGACACTAAAGGATGGTTTAGCAGAAAGAAGAGTAAATGTATAAAGTTAAGGTACATTTGTTCTCCCCAGTGGTTCTCAACTAGGTGTGGTGCCTTAACTTTAGAGGACACCTGGAAAGGCAGAGGGTGCTTGGGGTAGACCGGCAGGTGTTATGGGCGTTTTGTGGAAATGATCTTAGGACACTGAGTCCTACAATGCATGCCACAGTCTAGTGCCATGAAAAGTTCTCTCGCCTGAAATGTCAACATATCCCCCATGTGAGAAACATGAGTCAACTTTCTCTGGCAAACGTCCACAAAACTGAAGAAATACGGGCACTAGAATAGGGTGCTGGTGGCACAAGTTTGATGGACAGTCAGATGAACATGTGTTCCAGTCCATCCTCTGACCTTCATGTATGGCTTGAGACCATAACCTAGACCCTAAGACTCGGTTTCCTCATCTAAATAATGCAGAAAACAATATTCATACACATCATCTAGAGTGTTTCTGAGAATTATGGAACTCTTAAAAACACAGGGAGAGTCATATAAATGTACACTATTGTTAGAAGTGGAAAAGGGGGATGAAAGGGGAACTCTAGCATGGAGACTAAAACAAGCAAGATGGAAATTCAAATAGGAAAGGAAGTCTAGAGCAACAATGTGCAACAAAAAATCTGGGCCAAAAAATGCCAACACACGTAATTTTTAAATATTTCCTAGCCACATTTAAAAAGGCAAGAAACAGGGAAAATTTTTATTAATGTATGATATTTAAGTAACCAACTATATCCAAAAATGTTATTTCAACATGTAATCAGTATAAAAAAATCAAAGGCATTTTCCTTTGTTTTGGTAGCAAGTTCTTTCGATCTGACATGTGTTTTACTTACAGCACATGTCAATTAAGACTAGTCACATTTCAAGTGTTCAACAGCCACGTGTAGCCACTGCTATGTATTGATGCACAGGGCTAGAGCATCAGCGAGTCTGACCTTTCATGGATTACTAGCTTTCAGTAATTTTTAAGATTCTTACCGGCTAACATTTCAGTGCATGGAGGGTGGTTTCAGAAAAATCTTGATTATTGTATTTAGGGACTTTAAACTCAGGATCTTTATATAAGGTGAGAAGAGGCAGTGTTGTAGAATGATTGATCAGTCATGACTGGACTCAGTCAGATGGGGAGGTTCCCACTCCAGCTCTGCTGCATCCTGTCCTTGAACAAGTTAGCCAGTCAAAAACCTGTTTTCTTATTTGCAGAACAGAGATAATGGTAGTAGCTCCCCTAAATATTGCTCGGAGGATCATACACGTAGCTTTAGCCCAGTGCCTACAGGGATTTCTCCAAATGTGGACTGTAGATATTTGTTATTTGGGTTTGGGAAATTGGACAGGAGTCACCAAAATTCTAGTTATTCTTTAAATATACACCCAAGTCTTTTTTAGAGCTGTATTACTTTTACAGCTTTTGTTAATGAGCACACTGTGTTCTTTCAAAGCTGAGTGCTTCTCGTCACAGTTTAAGTGCAATGATTTGTCCTTGTTTTTAGATATATCTTAACTTCTGAAAGACTGCCTGGCACACGGTAGGTCCTCAGAAAGTTTATTAAATGCGTTTCTGGCTGCAGAATTCCTGAGTAATAGTTATAAGCACACGTTAAAAGTACAATCATTAGTCCATGATGGTAATTTCAATTTTATTCTAACATTTAAATTATAAAGTTTATGTAGCTATTTTTTAATGAGAATAGTCTCTGCCAGAAATTTAAGATTCTTGAGTTGATACAAAGTTCAAATAGTGCTGGGCAAGCTTAAATGATTGGTAGTATATTTGCCACAGACATAGCTCTACATATAAATTAACAAAATATAATCTCAATGTGATGCTTCAAGGCTACCCCAGAATTTATTCAATTCAAGATCGTTAAAAATTCATCACTAGTTTCCTTTTATAAAGTTAAAAAAAAAAGCATACAACACTGGTATAGCACAAACAGATTTATTTACTAACCAAAGGGAGAATCCTGATTAATTCAACACTTTGAAACAGTTGGAAGTAAAATGTTTGTGATAAAGATAATTGAACACAGTAATGAAAAAAAAAAAGTAGTATGGAGATTTGCTCATTGAACTGAGCGTGTTCATCCTCGCAGCTAATTCCTGTCCAAAATGATGCTGGAATTTTTACTCTACTTTTTCATAGACCCGAGTGGAAGTGACATTGTTCATGATGCATTCCTGGGAAGAAGAATGATATTAAAGAGTCAGGGCAGTCTTGCATCACAGAACAATGGTGGTAGTTAAACGTTAGGATCAGAACCCTACAAAACCTTGTCATCTACTTCACAGACAGAGAAAATGCACTTTAGGATTGCTGGGTTTGAAAAGCTAGGACCTGCTCTTTTGCTTAGGACGTTCCTATGTTTTGCTGGAAACTAAATATTGATTTGCAGTATCTAAACTATTCGTTTAATCTTGGCAGATACTAGTCATCATTTTAAAGAAATGGAAAAATGTATGCCCAAGATTATATAGTTATTTTTTCATAAACTGAAGGTTTGAGGCAACCCTGCCTTTAGTAAATCTATTGGTGCCATTTTTCCAGCAGCATTTGCTCACTTCTTGTCTCCGTGTCACATTTTGATAATTCTCACAATACTTCAACATTTTCATTATTATCATACTGGTATGGTGATCTGTGATTAGTGATCGTTCCTACTTCTATTGTAATTTGGGGGCAGTTTTTAGCAATAAAGTCTTTTTTTTTTTTGGTGGGGGGAAGTAATTGAGTTTGTTTGTTTATTTAATGGAGGTACTGGGGATTGAACCCGGGTCTCATGCATGCTACATGTGCACTCTGCCCTGAGCTATACCCTCCACTCAATAAAGTATTTTTTAAGTTAAAGTATGTACATTGCTTTTTCAGACACAATGCTATTACACTGAGAGTGTAAACATGACTTTTATATGCACTGGGAAACCAAAAACATTTACATGACTCACTTCGTTGCAATACTTGGTTTATTGCCGTGGTCTGGAATCGAACCTGCAGCAGCCCTAGGGTGTGCCTGTACTGTCATGTAGCGGCAGAGAACGGGCTAAGCCCAGCTTCCATTACATCCTCCGCTGCATCATCTCACTTCTCTATCACCACAAAGGGCTTTCTTAGTTATTAGTGTTCTTGTATTTATCTCGTTATTTTGCATTTCTTTTCTTCATAAAACCTAGTTCTCCTATTCATGATCAGTGATACAGAACAGTTACGTGAACTACAAACTTCAAGCGAGAAGCCCAGGGGAGGGTATAGCTCAGTGGTAGAGTGTGCGATTCAGCATGCACAAGGTCCTGGGTTCAATCCCCAGTACCACCAGTAAACTAAATATCTAAATAAGTAAATAAATAATCCTAATGACCTCCTCCCACCCAAACCCTTGACAAAGACCCCCAGGGGCAAAGGAGAAGCCCAGCAAGACGAAAGAGGTTAGGCACTTACCACCACTAACTTCCCGTTTTCCAACCGTCTTGTTATCGTGCTCTCCTTCCCATCCCATTCCTGATGTTGAACCAATGCGCCGTCAGTGAAGTTGCAGACAGTCTGCCAAAATAAAGTGTGCTTCGGAATGTTCCAAGTACATTACAAGAGAGATTCTGTGGCTCATAGCCTCCTCTTCCCTTCTGAGTCTACTTCATTAACCGATACTGATTTATTCAAAATATAATTTATGCTTTCCAATCTAGATGCACATAAGAGATGGTCATTCTCTCTCATGTCCCCTAAACTATTTTTACAAAATAGATTAAGTTGTGCAACTGGCACTTGCAACTAATTTGTCAAAACTCAATTCATAAAATAATTTCAGCCTTGTTCATTAAATTTTTGCCTACAAACCAAATGTTATTAATACAATCTGCCATTGTAGAAGCTTCCATGATTTTATAAGATAAGTTATGACTGACCTGAGTTTTTCTGCCATCAGCTGTAGTCTCTTCGAACTTCTCTCCCAGGCTGCAGGAAAACTGTGTTGTTTTCAAAGTGCTCTCAGTTTTTATGGTGAGGTTTTTGCCATCAAAAGTGATGATACAATCTGGCTTGGCCATTGCACCCATTTTTCGCAGAGCCATTCCCACTCCTGTAGAATGTCAGATCACGTTAAACAACACTGAGAGACTGAAGTTATCATTTACATAAAAGCAGTAACTCCACTGCAATCACCTTGCTGCGCACATTTTCACTTACTCACTTATGAGTAACAACTGTGAACACACATCCAGGACTCACCATGTGCCAGCGCTTGACATATATTCATAGAAGCCTTGCAACGACCCTGTGAGAGGTGGACAGCACTGTCCCCGTTCTACAGATGAGAAGGTGAGGCACTGAAGTACCTTACCCAAGCTTATTTGCTAGGAAGGGATGGGGCTGGGATCCAACACTGCATGTGGTCTGGATCCAAATCTCAGCTCTTGGCCACCATGTTATGCTGGCCTTCAAAAAGTTAGGGAAGATAGCTGGACTTCCACAATTTCCTCAGTTCTGCCAACTATCATATTATATGACTCCAGGTAGAGAAATGGCCCTTGATAAATATTTGATTAACAGAGTACACAAAATCAAACTCAGTCCTGAGACATTCAAACTGCACAAAGTTTTAAGAGTTAATTGCACAGTAAACTGACTATATTTCAATAAATATATATATACAAAAAAGTTAATTGCACAATCATGATGCTAACAAAGAGGAAAAATCTTACTCTCAAAAATAGTAACTATTTCAAAGCTGTGTGCCTCCAATACTATACTGATACCATATTTAATTTATAATCTGGGTATTTCCCCTTAATATTAACATTGGGAAGGAAACAGCTTGACGTCAAATCTTGGTTTCGCAGATGAGGAGACTACAATGTAAGCAGAATAACTGGCCTGATGATGAACACTCAGCCAGGCTTGAAATGTCCCCCTGGAGCCTTCTAGTCTGCCAGCTTGGGGCTGCTGCCTTGTTTTGTTAGTTGAGCCATTATTTATTCTCACTTTGGCCAAATAAAGGACTCTGCTCTTCCCACACCTTGATTGCTCTCTAATGAATTGAGCCTTGACAACCTTCTTGTCCACAGAACTCTGGAAACAAGCCATCTGATAAACACATTCACTTTCAGTGGGCAAAGAAACAGCCTTCTCTGGTCCTCACACAGGTAAACACAATATAAATGCTGGATTTCTTCAATACGAGTGCAGTAGGTAACTTTTTCCAGAGTCACTTTGATCCAGGTTTACAGTGGGAAAAAAACCCATTGCCTTCTTGTTTTACTCACAAGGATCATAAATATAGACTCAAGATTCACCACATGGCCAGCTTTAACCAGTCACTGTCATGCATAAAGGCCAGTGACGGAGTGTTTCTGAAATACTTCAGGGCTTAGGTCTTTGTAGTGACTTCTGCACCAGAAAGCAGTCATGTTAACATTTGGGGGAGAGCAGTTTCTAAAGCATCCCCAGTTCTAGCAGGTGTCTAAGATACGATCTTTGCTGTCTACACCATCCTAGGGGCCTGTGACAAAGATTCACTTTTGTTTGCTAATCTACCCAATGTCTCAACCAGCATGCAATCGTTATCTGGCTTGGGAAGAAGATAACAGAAAATCAAGCACTACTTGAGTACACGAACTTGAATCTTCCTACAGAGACTCCCCTGAAAGCTTGGGAAAAGTCAAGTGCCTTGGGCAGGGCCACGCCCATCTTGGATGCTGCTGGAAAGCAGCCTCAGGAGGGTCCGGCATCGCTGACTGCGGTTTCCCAACAAAGTCCACTAACTGCCTCTTTGCCCCTCACCCTTAAGATGCCGAGGCCAGGGCTGCAGCGCACGGCCAACCCAGGGACAGACGACCTCACAGCGATCTTCCCACAGGCCACCCGCTCACCGCGGCGCCCAGCCCGGCAGTGCAGGCAGAGGGTCTGCGCTGCCAGCGCCAGGCCTGTGAGCGCCGCTCTGGAGCTTGGAAGCGAGGATGCATCGACGCTCCACTGGGGGCTGCGCCAACCCAAACCGCCCCGTTCACACAGCAAGGGAGGGCGGAAGACCTGGGGATGAGGGAGATGCAGCCGAGAGCGGAATGAAAGCTGAAGCTGTAGCTCCATTCAGACGCTCACGGATTTCTCCTGGACACCGCGCCCCGGTGGAGAGGGAGGGGGCCACATGCGCCATCCAGGAACTAAAGATGCGGCAGAAAGGGCAAGGGGGAGTGGGTGCGGCCACGACAGAGCCAGTGCGAGAGAGGATGGTGACAGAAGTAGGGAGGTGAAGTGGTGGGAAAGAGAAAAACAGGGAAAGTGAAGAGGGGTCGAAAGAAGTGAAGCTTGAGGTGGGGGGAAGGTGAG